CCCAGAGAAGCTGTGGCTGCCCCTGGATCCCTGGCAGTGTCCAAGGCCAGGCTGGACATTGGGGCTGGGAGCAGCCTGGGACAGTGGGAGGTGTCAGGGCTGGAAATGRGTGATTTTTCATGCCCTTTAAGGTCCCAGATCACTCCACTTTCCTGTGATATCCTGAATGGGGGTTCAAGGCATGGGGGAACAGCGGGACCCCGCTCCCATGGGGAGCAGGCGATGGGGGACCCCRGGGCACAGGTGTGGCACAACGGTCGTGCCACAGCCCAGCCCGGGCGCTTTCTCCTCCGTGCAGGTGCACGGAACCGCAGCCTCCGCGGGAATCAGCAAACAATGGGCAGGATAATCATCAATCAACCCCCTTGGCACGGCCCTGGCAGTGCCCCTCGGCAGCCTGGCTTTATAAATAGCCTGTATTTATATCCAGATTTGGTTCAATATCAGCATTTATTGTCTCCTGGTTAAATATTGACCTGGTTAAATATTTGTTTCTCTGATCATTTGGGTTTGATACCGAGCTGCATCGACGTTATTTTCTGTTTGTTCCTCAAGTCTCCTGGAACTCTCTGTGAAACGGGATTAGCAAAGAAAGCCCCGCCACTCTTCCTTTCAGGTGTCCAAYGTTTGGCTGCCGTGAACAACAAAGCTGTGTGTCCCCAACGGGATCCGAGCTCCCATGGGAACGTGCTGGGCTCAGAAAGGCTCTGCACTGGCTCCCCTGCTCGCTCAGTGCCACAGGGGCTCCAAGCAAGTCCAAGCTGGGGCTGCCCTCGAAGCATTCATGGACTGTTTGGGTTGGAAAAGCCATCCAAGGTGATCCAGTTCAACCATTGCATCCTCCAGTCCAACCATTCCCCTTTTCCTGCAGCAATTCCCGGAGACATGTGATGTGAGACCCCATCCTGTGCAAACGTGAGCAACTCCAGGATGAGGCACTGCCCTGGAAGGACTCATAGAATCCTGGGATTATTTGGGCTGGAAAATACCTCTGAGGTGATCATGTCCAACATTTACATCCTCCAGTCCAACTATTTCCACTTTTCCTGCAGCAATTCCCCAGAGACAAAGGATGTGAGAYCCCATCCTGCCCAAACCTGGGAGTTCAGAACAACTGCAGGATGAGTCACTGGACCAACAGCGTTACASTCAGCACACCCAAACCTGGTGGCCAGGATTCCCTGGAGGATGGGATAAGCTCAGGGGCAGCCCCTGGGAGAGCTGTGTGATGGGAAGCCCCCTGCCCCAGTAAAAACAGTGSCYCCACTGCCTTGCRAGGATTCRTAGAATCCTGGGATTATTTGGGCTGKAAAATACYTCTGAGGTGATCGAGTTCAACCTTTACATCATCCAATGCAACCACTCCCCTTTTCCTGCAGCAATTCCCTGCCAGGCCGTGGATAAAGGAACTTAACCCCCCATCCTGCCCAAACCTAGAGGTTCAGAGCAACTCCAGGATGAAGCACTGCCCTCAAAGCATTCATGGATTATTTGGGCTGGAAAACACCTTTAAGGTGATCAAGTTCAACCTTTACATCATCCAACACAAACATTCCCCTTTCCCTGTAGCAATTCCCTTCCAGGCCATGGATAAAGGGTGTGAACCTCCCATCCTGCCCAGACTGAGGGGTTTGGGATACTAGGGGTGTCCCAAATGCTGTGAAATCTCCCCAGGAGCACGGGGAGATGGGGACAGCCCCAATCCCTTTGGGAGCAGAACCCACCCCTTCGCTGCCCCCGCACATGGAGGATCCACAACAACCCCAGGGTCACAGCTGTCCGCAAGGAGTGCTGGGGTGTTTAAAATTCCTGCGTTTTGGCCACCTGGGAAGGTGAGGATCCATGCTGAAACCCCTGTGCGAGCTCTCCCTGCAG